CTATCCTTTCCTGGTGGAATTCGCATTTTGAGAGTTTGGCATATAGGTGAGCGGCTCGCAGCTTCTTTAAAACCGCTCTGACAAGTTTGACGTGTTCTTCTTTTGTTTCAGTAAAGATAAGAATGTCGTCCAAGTAAACAAGGACCCCCTTAAACAGGTGCTCCCTTAGAACGTCATTGATTAATTGCATAAAGACTGCAGGGCCCCCTTGTAATCCAAATGGCAAGACTTTGAATTGATAGCACCCCATGGGGCAGTTAAATGCAGTCTTCCATTCGTCCCCTTCCTTGATTCTCACGCGATAGTAAGCTTCCCTTAGGTCTAGTTTAGAAAAAATTTTCCCTTTCGATAGGTGTGACAGCATGTCTTTCATGAGGGGCAGAGGGTATAGGTTGCTTTCACTGATTGTATTCAGGGCCCTATAATCCACGCATAAACGTAAGGAGCCATCCTTCTTCTCTCTAAAAAGGACCGGGGCAGCCACTTTAGGCTTGGCTGGCTCAATGAAACCTCTCTCTAGGTTTTTTTTTATAAATCTTTCCATTTCCTCCTTCTCCTTTGGGCTCATGGAGTATAATCTGGGCTTCGGGAGTTTTGCCCCAGGCTTGAATTCAATGGTACAGTCTGTGGGTCGGTGGGGGGGGAGCTCATTCGCCCTCTCCTCACTGAAGACTTCAGCAAGGTCTCTATATTCCTCTGGTATTTCTGTTAATCTTTTTTCCACTCCTATGGATGCTTTTCCTATTCTTGATTGTGGTAGCCCCCCTTGGGGTTTTAAGTCCATAGGGTCCCCCTTCGGGAATTTGATTTCTGTCGTCCTCCAGTTTACCCAGGGGTTCCATTTTTTCAACCATTCCATCCCTAGAATCATTGGGCATTCCATACCTGGGGTCACCACAAACGTTAAGTCCTCTTCATGGTTGCCCAGGGAGAGGTGTATTGGCAGAGTGGCTAGGGTAGCTGGCACTCCCCCTGCTATGGATCCATCTAGCTGGCCAAATGAGATTGGTTGTTCCAGTCTCCTGGATGGGATGCCCAGATTCCCCACTAGTGTTGGGCTAATGAGGCAGCGGGTGCAGCCAGAGTCTATTAAGGCTTTCACCTTCACAGCTTCGGGCATGGGGGGGATTAATATAGTCACTGTTTTGAGGATGGGTGTGATGCATCCACTTACCAGGGGTTCGCCCTCCAAGCTGTCATCTGAGGCATCCACCGGCCCTGTGGTGTAGGCTGGAGTTCTTTCCCCTTGGTGAGTAGAAGTGGGGGGTTCTGCAATTTCCATCATTCTCATGGCCGTTTCTTTTGGCTTAGCTGAAGACTTTCTGGATTTGCTGATTGGGGATTTGTCTGGGTTGTGCTGGGGGGCCTTTGAGCGGCATTCTACAGCTCGATGCCCCTCTCTTCCGCACTTGAAACACCCCATTTGCTTCTTGGCTGTATCCGATGATTTCACCGGTTGGTGTGTCAGCTCAGGCGGGGGGCGGCTCCATTGTTTTCCTCGGCGGTGCCTCTTCAATATGTCGATCTCTGCTTCCTCTGCCAAGACGTACCATTCCTCAAGTCGATGTGGGTCCCCTCGGGGCAGGCAAGCATCATATAGATCATAGTTTAGTCCGTCTTTGAAATGGCTAAGGAGGATGTCTTCTGGCCAATTTAGTTTGCTGGCAATGGCCCGGAATTCTTGTGTATATTCAGCCACCGGGCGTTTGCCTTGCCTCATCGTTTTTATCCTTTCACGGGCTTTGCGATCAGCCAGGGGGTCTTCAAATCGTCTTCTCAAAGAGGACATGAAACGGTTGAAGTTACTGAGTTCTGGGGCATTGGAGTCACGCAAGTTCACCACCCAATCTGCAGCCGGTCCATCCAGGGCAGATTGCACGATCCGGATGCGGGCTTTGTCGCTGGGAATGTCCTGCCCGTATTCCTCCATGTAGCTGAGGACTTGGGTTAGGAAAAACCCCAAGCGTGTTGGCTCCCCTTTGAATTTCACCTCCAACGGTGGACGTCTTGGAATGGATCGGTGCCTCCGTTGTGGGTGGTAGTGTCTTCCGTCCAGATTGCCATCTGTGGTCCAGTAGGGGGTGGGGGCTACTGGATCAGTAGATATCCCCGGGGTTGCAGGTTCCACGTCCCCTCGGTGTCTTTCCCTTTGCGGCTCCAGGAGCTGGGGCGGCCGTAGGGCTCAGGATTCTCCTCTCCTAGGGAGCTGAGAGTTCTCTTCATCAGGTCAATAGCTTTCTCTAGGATCCAGTCTGAGTACGGTGCCCAGCTTCCTCCCTCTTCACTTGCGTGCAGGGATTTCTCCATCTCCTGCTTCCATTCTGGTTGCTTGGTCCCCCGTCTCAGGGTCACCTTTCTTGATTCCTTTCCCCACTCACTTTTCTTTCCAACGCCCATTGACCAGCGAGGCTTGTGGTCCGTGTCTCCACCACTTCTTCTCCTGAGGAATCTGACCTCTCGGATCCCAACATCTGGCAAGGTTCCAACTGGGTCAGCGGCTCTCTTTCCAGGGAGTTTTCCCCCTCTCTTACTCCATTGGCTGACATGGTAAATTTTTGCAAAATCCCCCGGCAAGGGTTTCCCTTCCAGGTGGATTAATTTTGCAAGTCCTGTCTAATGTAAGGACCCACCCCACTTTGCATCTTAAGAAGACAGAATTCTTGGAATCATTCTTCCAACAGGAATCCTTTATTAAGAAGAAGTGGTTGCAGGTGTGCTAGACAGGACTTGGGGTCCAAGCTCTCCCATTCAAGGTTTTAAGGGGTTCCCCAGTAGTCCCACCCAATCACCCCCCCCTTCCAGTGATAGTTTCAGGCATCACAAATCTACCCCTTTACTCCTTTCTTCTGTCTGGATGGAGACTTCAGATAAACTACATGAAAAGTAAATAGCCCCTTTTGTTATGGTAAGGTTCAAACTCTTTGAGGTTGCAATAAACACATTCAGCTCCTTAGAAGTCTACTGAAGGAAGTGAGGGCCATAAAGTCCCTTTGTTCTCCCCCTTCTCTCCCTCTTATGGCAGAATCCAGAGAAGGCAGAATTGGGATTTTCTATGTTTGATAATTAAAGATGAAATATAATTGGATTCTGACAAGTTCTGTCTTCTTAAGATGCAAAGTGGGGTGAGTCCTTACACTTGAATAACAACAGCCAACCAGATGATCCTAAAATGGTAAATAACAGGAAGAATTGCATATAGATTTTCATAAACTACATTAAAAATGAGATAATTATTTATTAAAACACATTTCCTATTTCTGCTTGCAATTCTCTTGGCATTAGTTCTGAAAAATACTCCAGTGAAGAAAAAAAGACTTTACTATTTAAATATTAGTTGGCTTAAATTCTTTCATTGGAGAATTGGTCCAATTGTTTCTCTCCCAAGAAATTAACACTATGACATGGAGGGGGCACAGTTAGAGCACCAAGTGACCTTGAGTGCGTTGCTAGTGAGAGATGGAAGTCCTGGCAAAATCCGGGCAAGGTCACTCTTGGTGATACTGTAAGGTTAGTATCTAAGCTAAGAAACTACTTAACAGGGTTGAAAATCAGTGGAATTTTGCAGGAGAAGGGGAACCAACCCAGGTAGCAGCAGGAATTCCAAAATCAGACCCAGAAGGTAGTGGGCAAGTCATTTTTGTACTGGTGCTAGTAAACACTATATGGTTATGACTGTAGCATTTAAATGAATCTAGGTATCAGATGTTGGAGTACCTAGCTTGGCAGGCATTCCTTTAGTTCAATGTTTTTCAAACTTGGCAACATTAAGGTACATAGACTTTAACTCCCAGAATTCCCTAGCCAGTTCTAGTTGCTGGGAAAGAACACTGAGTTTTCACAAGTAGAAGTGATGATAGAACCCAATGTGAGCTGCAACAAAGGATGGTAACTGATAGTGTCACTACGGAAAAAGAAATTTCTAGATATACAGACATAAATGTATATACAGATATGAAGACATAAATAATTAGAATATAGAATGTAATGAGCATGGACCAAGGAAACTTGAGATTGACAAAAAAGAAATGAAGCATACTAAACTGACTGTTTTAAGATGAGGGGAGCTTTGGTAGACCATAATGGGCTGCTTTAAATCAGATTATATTATTCAGTCCTTATAAGGGAATGGAGTGGCTATGACACTCCACAAAGATATTCGTATGTATTCATTTTTAAATAATAAACAACAGGATTTTACCTGTCAGAATTAGTGGCTATTCAGAGATTATTTTATATACATTTATGCATTTATTATAGGCGGAAAAATAAATGACATTGAAAAACTCTAAGGCAAACTGCAAGTGGAAATAAATGCAACATTTAGAAAGAACATAGCAGTATTAGTGAGTGATTGGAATACAAAGATTGGAGAACCTGCAATTACAGGAATATTTGGGTTGGGTAAATATTAAAATGCAGGAGGCAAATACTGCCAGGGTACTTTCAGGTGCAGACTGTGGAAAAGACCATGAATTAATAGAGTCAAATATTGGGTTAGAACATTTCAAAAACAGAAGATATATTCTCAAGATTTGATCTGCACTTAAATGTACAGTATGCAAAAGAGAACTATGGGAGCTATGAAAGAGATAGGAGACTTTCTCAGAACTGAAGTAGAAAAATATTTCCACAATATCAAAAAAGAAAAGACCCAAATAGTCTTCTAAGTCAGATTGTCTGGGAAAGATGGAGACTGAAAACCGAGGGTAATAAAAGATCATGCCATGCAGACTTTCAATATTGGACAAGAAATTGTAAAGAAATCTGCATCAATAGAGAATGACAACAAACAAGAAAATCCTCAGAGTTATTTTAAAAAAATCAAGAATATCAAAGGAACATTTGCAAGAAAGGTAGGAACAGTGAAATACAGTCAGGGAAGAGGAGCAAATTAGGTTAAAAAAAGATGGAAAGGTTACATTGATGTTCCTTGCATGCTTCAGAGAGCAAAGCAAAATTTTAATTCATGACCATCTTCCCCAACTGTCCAGGATACTCACCTGCCTCTTGCAGCTGCTTGTTTTCTTGGTGTGCTTGTTCCAGAGTAGCAACCATCTTAGAATCTGTTCAGGCACACACAGGCAGACATATCTCAGAAAGAGCTACCAATCCAAAGGGCAATGCTGAGGCCACCAAAACAGTAGCATTTGCCAAATGAGGCTGTTTAAAAGTGTTGTCTTCCCCTGGCTTTTATTGGGACTACTAACAGGACTATTCAGCATGCTCATGCAAATATCATCAGCTTTTCTTTGATCATTGTATTCTTAGAAAATTATCTCACCACATTACTCAGAGCCACAGCTCAACTTTATTATGGAACACTTTCTTATTCCTCGAGCAGAACCAAGCATGCAACCAAATTAAAGCTGCTATTGAGTGGTCTGTAAAACAGTTGTAAAAAGGAAGCCAGGCATATTTTTGCTATTCATGCATTAGATTTCTCTCCTGCTTTTCTCTAGATGTTCAAATAAGTTAGATAGCACTTTCTCCTTCACTTTTTCCCTGCAATAACAATCTTATCATAAGATAAGATAAGATAAGGTAAGGTAAGGTAAGATAAAGTAAGGTAAGGTAAGGTAAGAGAAGATAATCTTTATTGTCATTTTTTTTACTGTGGGCACAACGGCACACATAAAAAATGAAATTTAGTTGCACGCTCTCAAAGTGAAATACATACATGACACACACCTAAACATACTATGAACAACATATATATAGACATATACGTAGCAAATAAATATTAAATACTGTCCATTTTGAATATATAATGGAAGGAGAAAGCTTCAGAGTTCACAAGGTTAATGCTGTATGGAATGAAACTATGGCTGAATCTGGATGTTCTGCTACGGATACCACGAAGCATCAGGTTGAAAGAGAAATTTGCCCAATGTCAAGTCATGAGTTCTATGACTGAGGATGAATTTAAATTGAGGTTTTCCTTTTCCTGTTCCATCACCTTAATCCAGTAACTTCCAACTTTTTTCCAGACCAGCTGGAATTTTGAAAGAATGGAAGAAGTCTCTCACAAAATCCATACTTTTGTGTTTAATCACAAAATGGCTGTCAGGGGGTGAGGATGGGATGGAGAAACAATCAGAGAGAAAATACCAATTTGCTTGGATCTCACCTGATACAACTCTTTCTAAACTTCTCCTCTATTAGATTCTCTCTACTATGCCTGTTTATCTTTCTCCTTTTCTGGATAGGTGAGCATACTTCTCAATAAAGCAATGAGTTGCAATCCTTCTTTTTTGTGGGGGGACAAAGGCACTCTTGGAAATAAAAAACAACTGGATATTGAGATTTTGTTTTGCTTTCCATTTTTTTTAAAGTAAAAAATTCAAGTGGGACTGGGCTTGAAACTTGTTGAACACCAAGGGAAATGTCTGCAGATACATTAGTGTTCCTGGGCTCCATGGTGGCAATCCCTAACTGGTCTCTATTCCAGTTAATAAGAAACATGTAGCATTTACAGAGGCATAAGAGACAGTTTGAAATGGTGTATGGATATGATAAATATGCAAACCTGTCCCCAGAGGCAGCTTAAATTAATTATTTTGCTTCCAGTGATCATCTCCATGGATATCTAGAGATCATACATAGCAATTGACCCTTCAGCCACATCAATTTTCTTCTGATGGATCCGCTGCTTCCTACAAGTTCTTAATTGGTGGAAAAAGGGAGACTATCTTGGGGAATTCAAAAATGCCATGAAATGCTCCAGGCTTTCCCCCTCCAAAAGCTAAGCAGGAGCTCTATCTTCTACCACTAAGTAGTGGACCTAAGTCTAGATCCCAGGAAGTCTTCCTGAATCCCATCATAATACAGCAGAACACTTACAGTGTACCAGTCCCAGAGCGAGCAGCAATACATTCAGAGACACAGATGTGGTCAGCACAAGGGCACCAGTTACTATGCCAGTTCTGCATGTGAAAGTTGGTTTCCAGCAGGCTGCAAAGAACAGAGGGAAGAATTTGGGTTGCTCCTGCTCTCCTAACAACTGCCTTTCCATCCCCATATTACAAATGGCAGCACTCTTAAAACAGAATAGGAATTAACCCAAAGAGAAATCTATGTAAAGTTGGGGCAAGGGGGCAAATTTAGCATGGTGAAGCTACCAGTTGAATAGAATCAAGCCAATAGAAAGAAAGAAGTCCCAAACTTGCAAAAGTTGTAACTCTTTCCCTACAGCCCTTAATACTGGCCATTGCAGCTGTGATGGAAGTCCAAATGTATTGGTAGCATCTTGTGCTCTAATGATGACAAGAGGGCAATTGTCAGGAACAAAAAATCAGGACCTTCATAAGAGTGCAGCAAAGAAGATTTATTTAGGCTTATATACAAGAATCTGATCAACTAAAGTTCAACAGTAAATTGGTGCCAGAAAGGGTCAATGGAATTCAGGAGGGTTGCCCTTGGAGCGCTTGTGAGAATGGAACAATTCTAAATTGATAATGCACTTAACTCTGCCCCCCCCCCAGCTCTGCCTGCTCTTCTACAGCAACTGAGTATAGATAGAGAGTTAAGGGTTTATTCTATGTACCTTCAGATAGACATCTGAAGTAACTTCTTTCTGTCTTTCTTCTAGGTTTCTAATACTTTGGGCTTTTCTCATGGAAACTACCTAAGTGTTAGGCTTGACCCATTCCTAAATAAAATACCTATACCCAGACCTTTCTGAGAAGCTTGGTCTTGGTCTTTCCATACCTGGAGAACAATCTGCAGGTAGTAGCTCTACTTTTTTCCCATTCAGTCTGATTGCTGGGTCAATAGGTTCATATGTACTCTCCACCTCTGGGTTCTCTTTGGAATCTGTTGGGAGGCAAAGGAGATTCTAATAAGACATTCCCAGTTGCATTTTGTGTTACTAGTATGTCCTTATTGTCAAGCACAAACAATCAAATCCACACATGAAAGGTTCAAGTTGACTATTCTATCTATAATACAAGAATTTCCTCAGGCTTCTTGTCCTCCCTTGGGAACAAACAGAAAAAGTTCATGGAACTTAGGAGCAGGGACAATCCTAGATCTCTTGTGACTAAATTCCCACTTGATCCTTCCTCCTTGCCTGGATGAGACTTTCCCAACATCATGAAGTGAAGGCCAGACCAAGATATGAAAAGTTGTGGGGCATTTGGGATTGACATACTAATCAAGACAGAACAATACTGGTTAGCATGAATTCTTGGGATCACAACAATATCTCCTACCACTGATAGGAAGCTCTTTGCCTATTTCTTACTTTGTAATGAGAAATAAAAAGGGAAAGAGAGAAATAGAACTAAAACTTCTCTCTTACTGTCATTAATGTAAAACAAGTGAAAAATCTATTAGTTATCAATCTACTTATTTATATCAACTACAATCAACAGGAATGGTTCTATTAATATTGTAGGAAGTCTTTGCTGAATGGTCAGAAATCAATCCTCTTCCGTGATCTGGACAATCACAAATGGTTTCATGACATCAGCATTTTGCAATTTTGCAAAGTTTTAAATTATGATCTCATATACAGTATGTCATACAATATATGACAGCTGGAACAAATGGTAAGTATTTTGCATGTTAAAATCAGAGAATCGCACTGCAATGACCTGAACTGAAGCCATTTTCACTTTGTTTTTGGTTGCCACATATTTAGAAAGAAGGAGGGAGGAGGGTGTAGTTCTGAGTTAGCCAAAATAATTTCAGGTATAGGAACCAAGGTAATTACTGATAGCATTTTGGCAGGCTGGAGAGCTGGGAGGAGTGCCCGCGTTTTCTACTAATGGGGGAATGTGATTTATGACATCTAATTGGGGTGGGAATTTCAACTTGTAACTTTGTAACCAAGGGGAGGGGAATTTAATCTTGGGTTCACCTTTGTACATGCCATTATTTTGTAGCCAAATTAAAAAAACTGAGATTGCTTTGCCCCTTACAGAACTATTAAAAACTGGCAAAGATGGGGGTAAACCATGACCAGGTCAACCCCTACACTGGTCGTTAGAATGCCAAGCCACTTTTGAGAATTTAAAAAGACTATTTGCTGCAGAACCAATCTTCAAATACCCTCATCCTGAGGAGAAATTTGTTATTCAAGCTGATGCCAGCAATATGGCTGTGGGGGCAGTGCTGTTACAAAAAAACCATGAAGGAAATTTACAACCCTGTGCTTACACTTCGAAAAAACTCACTGACACAGAGCGGAAGTGGGCCATTTGGGAGAAGAAAGCCTTTGCAATAAGATGGGCTTTATTGACTTGGCATCATCTCCTAGAGGGGTGCAAGGTGCCTTTTGAAGTATAGACTGATCACAAAAACTTAGACGCACTGAAAGCTACCTGTAAACTGTCTCCCAAACAAGTACGCTGTGCACAATAGTTTAATCATTTTAACTTTACCCTGAAATACATACCGAATGGAAGAAATTTCTTAGCTGATGCTCTCTCTAGACTGCCTTATTATAAAAGTCAATGTGAACAAGTCATAGATTCTATCATGCCACCACCTCAAGTTATTTCTCAAATAACCCCTGGGAAACAACACATGAAGTCCCCTAACCCAGACGACCCATTGACAAAGAAATTAAAGCAAGAACTGAAAAATGACAAATGGCTCAAGGAAAATCAAACCATCCTAACCCATACAGATGGGTTAGCTTGGAAAGGGGGAAATTATATTTGCCTGAATCACTCATATTCCAAGTGCTCCAACACAGTCACGACGTTAAACAAGCTGATCACTTTGGATATTTAAAGACACTACACTTAGTTCGGAGGCAATTTCGGTGGCCAGGCTTAAAGAAAGATCTGAAGAGCTATATAAAAAGCTGTGCAGTCTGTGCTACTATGAAGAGGATCCCAGGAAAGCCCCCTGGACTGTTACAGCCTGTCACAGATCCTTCTCAGCCATGGGAGGAGATCGCTATGGATTTTATTGTTGAATTACTGGAGAGTAGAGGAAATATGGTAATATGGACTGTAATTTACCTTTTTTCAAAGCAAGCTCACTTTATAGCATGCTCTGGTCTCTCATCTGCCCTGAAGCTAGCCAAATTATTTCTTAAGCATATTTACCGTCTGCATGGTGCACCAAAACAAATACTTTCAGACAGGGGAGTTCAATTTATGGCCAGATTTTGGAGGGATTTTCTTAAACTGATTG